TGGAGGAAGGAGTCATGGAGAAAGAAATAAGGTTGGCATTCTTTTGCTCATTTCCTTGAAACCTACCAAAACTTTACTCTTTTAGAGACGTGTTCAAGACGATAAGTAATCGCACTGAACTAGAAATGGACGAAGCATCAGTTGACGCCTTTGAACATCGAGATATCCATGTCACGGGTAGTTGCCGTGCCGCTGAATGTATACTAGGTACACTCTCCTCAGACGCTCACATTCATCGTAATACACGTTTACAAGTGTACGGTTGGGATCAAGCTGGAGGGGCGAGGTGTCATAGATCGGTCAGGCTGTTCACCGACACAGCGGCGGAAAGCCAGCAGTAGTTGATCAGCGGGATCTTTCCTGGATAAGCGGCTCGCTATCCTGCAGTCCTTCCCTGAAGTAGCCGATTTCCGTGTTTAAAACATTGAGAAGCTCATTCCGCAAAACGTGAACAAAACGTGCATCCGAATGGCACAGCTTGACCGATTAATACAATTCCAAGAGCAACGCTATCCTCCCCTTTTGCCGGGACCCTTGCAAGCCGACACTGACGGAGCGGCTTGACTCGCATCGCATGCTGCGCGATGATACTCTGGAACACACATCCAGGAAAGGATAGCATGCGATGTTGCTGTCGGTGCCCGACAAGAGGCTCGTAGTACGGCGAGAAGACAGTTACGTAGACGGGTCAGCGGACGAGTTGCAGTGTACTGTGCGCGTCAGCGCCACATTAAATACAGTAGAATGTACTATCGCGCATCGTACAATACGCTCTGCGACTCGTCCGCCCACCCAATTGCATCTTTTCGCCGCGGCGGGACTCCTGTCGGGTACCCTATGAGCAGTGTGTAATTATGGTGCTCGGTGATGAGGTGAACACATTGCACTTTAGAAGGTACTAATGCCTTGTGCAGTTTTTAGCCGCCGTGTCAGAGGCTTCAATTTGTGATAGCTGTTCGAGTTTCACTGCAATCAGTGAGTTCGTGATGAGCTGCTTTCCTTTGTTTGCGAAAGACTAGGAACAGAGGAACATTAGTGGTGGTGGATGTTGCTGTGGATGACATTACTAACAGCAAAATAACAAAAAAAGTGTCAAATTTATAGAAAATGCAACACTTCCGTCTTAAGGTAGCCTGTCAGAAGTGATGTTTACCGCTATTGTTGAATATTCACTGATCGCAGCTGCAGTGATGTATATTGTGTGGAAGAACATAGGGAAAGTCGGCCACGGCTCAGAATACGTTAAACGAAAGTATCGCATACGAATGGACTGCTCAAATACAACAACAGGTAAAAATTGGTTGACCACAAAAGCCTACAGAAAATGAAATGATGCTCCAGGTCTATTCCTTGGACTGGTTTTTCTGGCAGCAACCTTCACTTCAATGCTAGTCTACTATGGCTATTCGATTCTTGGAAAAAGCAAGAATGCAGCCTTCGCCTATGCTCTCACGGACATTTCACAGGTGTCGTTTGAAAACAACTCGAAATGTGCCAAGACACTGTATTGCCCCACCACACACCGGAGCTAACGCAGCCGTTTATGTTTCTGTATTATTGATTATATTTATTCATTTACTTATGTAAGAGTGCACCAATGTTTTCGTGTAAAACAAAAGTAAAAGTAAAACAAAACAATAGTGAGAAATAAAAACAAAGGTGAGAAGCTAAGTTGACAAAAAACCGTCCGCAATCAGGGGCCGGGTGCAGCAAGCCCCAACTAGGGGAGGGATCCCCAACCTTGGGGATATATCCCCAACCTTGGGGATATATCCCCAACCTTGGGGATACATCCCCAACCTTGGGGATACATCCCCAACCTTGGGGATACATCCCCAACCTTGGGGACATATCCCCATCCTCGACATTCTACGAATCGTTCAAGGGTTTCGTCGCAGGACCCAGGGCTTCCGCATCTCGAAGGCTCACGGACCATTAATGTTTCGTAGCACTATGGCAGTTTCGAAATACAATGGCACGGCACACATAGGAACCGTTGCTATTTCGTTCACTTCGTGGCTCTTACGAAATACAGTGGCAAATGGTCTTGGAGGCTGAGCGCCTCTTTCACATCGTTAACCATTTTTCTTCAATTGCCTTTCCCTCTTTTT